TTGTTTATCTTTTCAAAGAACCAGTTCTCAGTTTCATTGATCTTTTATATTGCTTTTTAGTATCTGTGTCATTTATTTCAGCTCTGATCTTTTTTTTATTTATATATTTTTTAATGATTTAAGAGAGGAAGGGGGAGGGAGAGAGAGAGAAACATCAATGATAAAAGAGAATCATGGATTGGCTGCCTCCTGCATGCCCCCTACAGGGGATCAAGCCCGAAACCCGGGAATGTGCCCTCGACTGGAATCGAACCTAGGACCCTTCAGTCTATAGGCTGACACTCTATCCATTGAGCCAAATCAGCTAGGGCTTCCACTCTGATTTTTATTATTCCTTCCTTCTACTTCTTCTGGGCTTTTCTTTTTCTGGGCTCTACTTCTTTTAGTTGTAGGGTTTATCACTTACTAGAGGCCCAGTGCATGAACTCATGCATGGGTGGGGTCCATCTTGCCTGCACAGATGGGGGTCCATCGGGGTTAGCTGGGGGGAGGAATTGCGGGAGGGCTCCAGGACATGTTCAGCTCGCCTTGCTCAGTCCCGATTGGCTGGACCCCAGCAGCAAGCTAACCTACTGGTCAGAGCATCTGCCCCTGGTGGTCAGTGCATGTCATAGTGAGCAGTTGAGCGGCCTTAGCTTGTTATTAGCATATTACGCTTTGATTGTTTGAACAGATGACTAGACGGCTGGACACTTAGCATATTAGGTTTTTATTATATAGGATTTGAGCTTTTTCTTTTTCTTGAGGTAGGCCTGTAATACTATGAATTTCCCTCAGGACTGCTTTCTCTGTGTCCTTGTGTGTTTAATTTCATTTATTTTCAGGACGTTTTTTATTTCTTCCTTGATCTAATTGGCAACCCATTCATTGTTTAATACTATTTAGCATCTATGTGTTTGAATGTTTTTGAGGTATTTTTTATTGTAGTTGATTTCTAATTTTGTGCTGTCGTGATCCAAGAAGATGCTTGATATGATTTCCATCTTCTTGAACTTATAAAGACTTGTTTTGAACCCTAACATGTAGCATAGCACACACACAAAAACCAACTAATGCCTCAAATTAAAAAAAAAAATTTTTTTTCTGGTGAATTAGCAGTGATTTTCGGCAAGAATCTATTTCCCTTCATCTCTGCAGCTAAATTAAATGGTAGAGCCAGCATGTGTCTGGACTGACATTGTACACTTGTATTCAGGTTTTTTTTAAAATTTACAATGATACTAAATGACTATGTACTACTCATAATCTAAAAAGAGTCTATTTAGTAAAGCCTCTTTAATGACAAACATAGAGGTAACAAATAAGAGTATAAGTCCAAAAATACCCATATGTATTCTACTATTGCTAAATTATTGCAAAAATGTAAGACAGTATTTTTTATATCATCACCATCATAAGATCTAGTTAAAATAACAGGTCCACTAAAAATACTATTCAAATTCCTTCAGTTTAAAAAGGAAGTTTCAAAATTTAATCCCTAAGGCTAATGATTAAAATTATTTTTTAAAGAAATTGAGTCAATGAAGAAATAAACAAGATTAAGAATGTGTTCTCTGGAAGACTACAATTTAAAATTATACTATATGCTAAATATTAAAACAATGTCTATAGCTGTCTGAATTTGAAAAACAGAATAATACTTTTAGAAAACTATATTGAGGGGAAAACATGACATCCAATTCAAAAGCAGACTGCAGGGGGAAATGTCAGAAGCCAATTCCTGACACTTGTTGAGCTGACCAAAACACACTGGTGTCTGTCTCCCAGGCTCACGCCTCAGGGTGCTGTTGGTATGTCCATCTCCTCCTCTGTGCAGTGGAACTGCCTCCTGATAACAGACTCTGTAACCTCAATAACCATGGAGCAACTCCGAGATAGGCCCGCCTGGGGAATGCCTCTCGGAAGCGCAGTTGCAGACTGTCACGCTAAAGTCGTTTCCATATAATTCTTTTTGTTCCAGACTCAACTCCTGCTTTTATGGCTCAATTATGGAATTTCTATCATTTGAAGCTGCCCTTTTGGGAATTTGTCTTCATTTCTCAAAAATGCACTGTAGACTCCCTGTTACTTTCTTAGGAACTGGCCTTGGAGATTGAGACTTAGGCTCCACTGGTTTGCTTAATGCTTTGAGGCTGGTGTCACGCTCCAGGCGTTATCTGGTATGACCAGGGGGAGTACTAAACTCTTTTAAAGATGCTGCTGGGGGCAGATGCCCAAGCCAATGCCTATCAGGAGGGGGCCAACCCATGGTGACTGGGGTTGCTCAGTGGGGGAAGGGAGTTCTCCACAGCAGGCAGATGAGTCTCTTCCATGTAGTATTGTACTCTGACCTCATTCCCAGAAAGTATACTATGTAAAAAAAAGTTTGCCTGCCTTTAGACCGAACCTGCTGATATTCCCACAGGGGTGCTAAAATTACGTACACACAATTGAGCGCCCTACACTAACTGACTCTCTTACATAAGAGCTGGGGTGAAATGGCAGCATTTTCATCATTGCGGTGGGTTTTGTTAAGAACAGCTTTAAAGGTCAGATAGGGGGGCAGTAGGCAATGATTCTTAGTGTAAATATTATATCATCGGGCAGCTCAGTATAATGTCACTAGCAGGACTCTGGGCCAGATGGCCTTGGTTCCAATCCCAGCACTGCCACTTAGCTGAGTGATCCTGTGGAGGTTAAATCAATCTCTCTACGCATCAGTTCTCCTTGCTACGTTAGGGATGAAAGTAGCACCTAGGCACAGGGCTTTTGTGAGGACATTTAGAGTTAATTAAAGTCAGAACAGTATCTGACACAGTACATATAATTATTAGCCATTCTTTTTCTATGTCGTCTGAATTTAATTAACACTTGCTTATATATAGCATGGATTATTTTTCAGCAAGTTTTCAATTCTGAGATAAATATTGCTATTCAAAATCTTTCCTAAATGCTTTGTTTTTCATACTCATCTGATAAATGTTTGGGATTTGAAAAAAATCTGTTGGGAAAGTAAATCACTTGCCAAAATTAAATAAGCCCCACACCATTCTTCCTGGTTTTTCTCTTGTGAAAATGGACTTCACAAAATGGGAACTTGAAAAAAGTCACAGCTTCTTTCTTTTTTAAGCCTTTGTCAGGCAAAAGGAGAGTAAGACTGAGTGCAGTGGTGATGAAACCACAGGCCCCAGGAGGCCTTCCACCGAGAAGGCAGGGTGCTGTGCCCTGCACTTCCTCTCTGGGCCAGTCTTGGGACAGGAAGCCTGGCTCCTGCCTTCCCCATGACCGCAGCTTCCCGGGAGGCCCAGATGGGGGAGCTTCTTGTCCCACTTCCCCTCAAGTGTGGTTCACTCCTTCCCACCCCTTCCTGAGAGACCCTCTGCCGTTCCCTTCCTGGGCTCGACCTCTACTTCTCCCATCAGAAGACGCTCTGGAGTTCAGGAATAAACCGAGTTCACTGCTAGCAACAAGATGACATCTCTCTGTGCTCCAGCTATGCCATGGCACCTTTCTATTTATCCCGCTGCAGTGCTCTCCCCTGCTGCTTGCTTTTGCTGATCTCACAGCAGCATGAAAAGCCCTTAATGGAGAGTATGGGTCCCTAGAGAGTTCAGGTTTCCACAGAAGGCACCTGTGAAGGTTGCCTGGACCACTGTGGGCAGAGCCATTGCACAGCTCCCAGGCACATCATTCCATAGTCCTCATGAATGGCGCCCCCTGGAGTTGTGCAACGAGATGTCTCAGCCTCTGGGAGGACAGCAGTCCACTGGGAAGATACATTCCTATTTTTGAAAACCAGCTTAAAAAAAAAAAAAAGAAGTGGAGTTCAAGTCTCTTGTCTGTCAGCTCTAGTTCTACCTCTCCCTAAAGGGGGATGGATGACTCCCAACTTGTCCTTGAACCTCCCATAGCCCACTCCCTCAAACCAACCAGCCTAAGGCAGCAAACTCATAAGAGAAGAGGTGGAGGGGAGAAGGGAATGATAGGGAAAAATAAAGGGAAATGTTAAAAAACTAACAAACAAACAAACAAACAAACAAACAAAACCAGCTAAGAGTGGCATGAGGAGTGAGGGGGCGGGGAAGGTAGGAGCAGGTCACATCTGAGAGAGCAGAGCTGCCTCCGGGAGAACCTGTTGGCTCTTCTCTGCCCTCTCACCATGTCATGGGGAACTCTGGTGAAAGGTGGCGGGGTGGTACAGCTGCATCTCCAGTGAAGACAGTTTGGCTACCCTACAACTTCACATCTATAAAATGCCCGCGTATAAAAATTAACTTTTTGTGTTGCTTTTGGCTCTATTTCCCATGCTCTGCTCTAATAAAGAAGGAAGCAGCTCACAGCATGGGAGTGAGAAGCAGCCACGGAGAGGAGGTGGTCTATCCTGCAATAACCAACAGACTGAATCTGGGGTCAGGTGTACCTTAGGGTCCTCAGCTCTGCACGGGAGGCCCCGGCATACTGGGCCTGAGCGGTGGCCCTCTGGCCAGCGACGGGGAGCTCACACTTCACAAGGCAACTTGATCAATTCTATGCAGCTCAAACTATTAGAAATTTGTTCCTTATACTGTGTGGCCTTATAATGTCCAATCCTGGGCCTTACTTTTGCTCTCTGAAGTCACCCAGAATAGGTGAAATGATCATTTTCTTTGAAAATCTTTCAAATATATTTTAAAATTGATTTTAGAGAGGGGGTGGGAAGGAAGGGAGAGAGGGATCGAGAAAGAGAATAACATTGATTTGTTGCCCCACTTATTTACGCATTCATTGGTTGATTCTTGTATGTGCCCTGACCATGGACGGAACCCGCAATCTTGGCACATCAGGACGACACCCTAACCAACTGAGCTACTGGGCCAGGGCAAGTTTCAAACATTTGAATACCAAAAGCATATTCTCTATGACGCCTCTCTTCTAGAACAGACATGTTCAGCTCTGTTTTTGAACCTTTACATGTAATTGGCAAGAATTGAAAGAAACGTTTAAAATAACTTGCCCAAAGGTGGCAGGCTGCGGGTCCTTACCGGTTCAGGAAAGCATTTCCGAAGCGACCGAGCTTTCGAAATGGCTTCTTGGGGTCCACAACCAAAGCGTTCCCCGGGGTGCTGCCCTCGTTCTCCCCGTACATCACCGCGATGAAGGAGTCGGTGGTGGGCTCTGGACCGATCCTCATGCCAGGGAAATCCTGCTCCAGTAAGTATCTGGGGAAGGGGGGAAAGAAACAGCATGTTGTCACAAAGCAAACGGTCAGAAAGCTTCCTGGGTCTACCAGTTTGTTTGTTTTTAATATATTTTATTAATTTTACACAGAGAGGAATTGAGAGGACAGAAAGTTAGAAACGTCAATGAGAGAGAAACATCGACCAGCTGCCTCTTGCACACCCCCCATTGGGGATGTGCCCGCAACCAAGGTACATGCCCTTGACCGGAATCGAACCCGAGACCTTTAGTCTGCAGGACGACGCTCTATCCACTGAGCCAAACTGGTCCTGGTAGTTTCTACCAGTTTTTAACACAACCATTTAAAACCTAGAAATATATCCCACCTCCCAAAAAGGAGCATGATTTATTCTTTTGCTAATAATGATTTTTCAAGGCTTAAAAGAGACGGACCTATCTTCCCCCACCTCCCCAGTGTAAGAAGCCAGTGAACGAGGTCGGACATCTTGCTGACTGACTGGGCCTGCTAACGCACCTCTGCTCAGCACAGCAATTCTTGGTGCAACTGACACCACCCCAGAGCAGGTACCCAGCCAGCTCCTATGTGCCCTGGAAGACCCTGCTCAGCCCACCCCCTTTACGGAAGTGTCCCTGTCCCTCCAGCATGTTGGGGACACCTCCTCTGTGGGCCCGGCACCTTGAGCCTTAGCCATCATGGTGCTCACCATGGCACTGTGCTTCTCTGCTTGTTGTCCATGTCTGTGGCCAGACGCATAGCCCAGCACCCATCACTGTGCCTGCCCACAGAGGGCACGCCATGAAGTGAATGAAATAATGAACCATCTCCTTCCTGTCACTGACAGTCTAGGAGGCTGGCACATCCTCCTTTGTGCGTTTTACAGCTCCCTTGGGCTCCTGAAGGCTGTAGCTATTGGAGAACATTTCCAAATAATTCAGTAGCAGCAGAGGCTGCTATGGAGGATGGGGGTGAAAGAGGGGAACTGAGAGTAGATATCACCAGGGCCGTCGGTAGCACTTTGTGCAAATTGGGAAAAGGTGCCCTTTCCTCTAGGACAGCGGTTGGCACTCATTAGCCAGCAGAGCCGAATATCAACACTACAATGATTGAAATTTCTTTTGAGAGCCAAATTTTTTAAACTTAAACTTCTTCTAACGCCTCTTCTTCAAAATAGACTCGCCTGGGCCGTGGTATTTTGAGGAAGAGCCACACTAAAGGGGCCAAAGAGCCGCATGTGGCTCTCGAGCCGCAGTTTGCCGACCACGGCTCTAGGCAGACACAGCCCCTGACCAGAATTCACAGCTCAGCAAGGTCTCTGGCTGGATTTTACATGCCCCCCCCTCCCCACATGCCTCTTTGCCCGCATGTAGTTTAACCTGCACAATTGTATACAATGGCCCTAGCAAATGCCACTGAGGACTCTCGGTCAGCGGGCAGAGGAGACCAGGTGATGAAATGCAGGGCATTGGGACTGGCTCAGTGGCATGTTGGGCTGGGGCAAGTCTGCTTTCTGTGGGAACGGGATAAGCCCTCACATAGCCCTCCCCGCCCGCCAGCACCGCCTTCAGGTGAAGCCACTAGAGCCCTTCCCTCCCTCCCCGCCAAGACTCCCTTTCCCCGATGCAGGGAGACCCTGTGTGTTCATGAAAACAGGGGGCGGGGAGGGGAAAGGCCGCTCCTTCTTTCCTCTGCAGCCAGGAAGAACAGGAGGAAGGAGGACAGCCGACCCCTGAACAATGCAACTGAAAATTCATGTATAACTTTTGACTCCCCCCAAACTTAACTACTAATAGACTATTATGGCCCGAAGCCTTAACAATAACATAAACAATTAAAACCCACTTTGTATATTATATGTATCGTAAATTGTAATGGGAAGGGGGTGAGGAGAGGTACAAGAGGGTAAAGGGGGGAGTAAATGGTGATGGAAGGAGACCTGACTTGGGGTGGTGAACCCACAATACAATATGCAGATGATGTGTTACAGAATTGTACATTGAAACCTGTATAAAGTTATTAACCAATGTCACTCCAATAAATTCATTAAAGGAGTAAAAACAAAAAACACACCTATGTTCTTACAAGAGAGTAAGCTAGAGAAAAGAAAATGTTTCTAAGAAAACCATAAAAAAAGAGAAAATACATCTATAGTATTTGCAAAAACAAATCAGCATATATGTGGACCCACACAGTTCAAAATCATGTTGTTCAAGGATCAACTGGAATACATTTGGAATACATTTCACTCATCACCAAGCAGCAGGTTGAAATGCAGCACCTTCAGAGAACACTTGGCAGTGGCTGTGAAGAGGCTCTGGGGGTGGGGGGTGGGGGTGGGGGGTGGGGGGTGGGGGTGGGGGGTGGGGGGTGGGGGGCGGTGGAAGGGTCCCTGCTCAAGGGCAGTGGGGCAGCGCCATGTCCCAGCCCTGCTGGGGAGATGAGCCTTCTCCCCGGGGAAAGGCTCAAGGGCAGAAACCTGCAAACTTCCTCCAGCTCCCTGTTCCTGCAGCTAACAATCTACTTGGTCCTAAACGATTTCCTTTATTTCTACAATGCCCCGACTGATCAAATTTAAGCATAGTACCTGATTTTTATTTCCAGGGATAGAAGAAAAGAACTGAACTATCAAATGCCCAACCATGTTGCCATCTTTCTACGAATAAGAAATTACGCCACCCTTTAGATCTAGGTTTTCTACGTAAATAAATGAAGATTGTTTAGCAATTGCAGCAGGCTATTTCTAAACACTTAATTGATCTCATTGCTAGTTTTAATGTCATCCAGGATTTCTTAATTTTTGTGAAGCTGTGGAACATAAGAATAGATACATCATTTAAATATATCCACTGAATTTAGAGTAAATATGAAAAAAATTGGATCATAACTCCCAGCATTTACCAAGTACCCACTACTAGCCTGGTTGCAGTACAAAGCCCTCTATGTAACATTGTTTCATTCAATCCATGCAGCACTGAGGAGGCCACCAACACTCTCATTGTCTGGTGGGAATGCCGAGACACCAGAGGCTAAGCAACCCAACCAAGGTCACACAGTAAATGTTTCAGTGGAAATGGAATGCAGGCAAATGACCCCAGGTCTTGTGCTGTCTCCAGATAGGTTTAAACCTGGGTTCGAGCAGGGGGTTTGCTCAGGGATGAGGAGCACAAGGGAGTTCAGGGCCACTCCACAGTGTCCCGCTGGGCATCGGGCACCATATTTCCTTGTGAGTGAAGGAAAAGAGCCCTCCACACTGTCCTGCATGGTCTTGGGGCTCCCTAACAACAGGGCCGGGCAGAAAAGGTGCTCTTTTCAAAACATGTTCACATTTAATTTTAAAAAATTCAAAACTTTTCCAGGCACCTACTAGACTAATAAATACTAGTAAATACTCATGGGAGCAGAAATATTCATGTTTATAAATTCTGGTAAAAGTGGCAGTGACTCACATTTTGCAAAACTCCAGCATGTGTGGAGTGTAGAAGGAGTGTGTGGATTTCACATAGGAATGGGGAATTTAGGTTTTAGGGATCTCAGTCTGAAGTCAGCAGCAGCAAAGCTAGAATTCAAGTCCAGATCACACCCATTCAAGTCCAGTTTGTTTTCCATGCCTTGTGGCCTGGATGAGGCTAAGCCAGGAGATCCAGGGGACAGATGGAGGAAGGGGAGGAAATTGGGGAGAGGGGCCAGGGTTTGGAAGGACAGCAGCCAATGCCACCAGGCTTCCTGCAGCACACACAGCTCCCTACTCACAAAAGGGTTAGGTCCAAGTGTTGTCTTGAAATCTGACAGGCACTTTCCATAGAATCAATTGTTACTGCAATGGTTGGCTTGCCAAAACAGCCTACAAAGGGTCTGCAACCTTGGTAAATCATCCAATCCCAGGTACAGAGGAAGAAACCAAATTAGAAAAAAAATATTACTATATTTTATAGTTGGTTTACATTATTTTGTTTAGTGATACTTTCCCCCACAGATAATAAAAAGCCAAAAGTCAATTTTCAATTTCATTATCAAGGTAATACCAATTAAATAAATAGCATATCGGCACTTTAAAAAACTCATAATACTCAATGCTGGTGAGGCTGTAGTAAAATAAACACCCTTCATATGCTGGAGGAATAAGTTGGTATAACTTCACTAAAAAGCAATTTGATACTTTGTATTAAAAACCTTCAAAATGGGGATAATTCTACTTCTTGAAATCTATCCTTAGGGAAAATCCTTAGACACATGAGAAAGATTTCTGCATGAAGATGTTCATTGCAGCATTATCTATAACAGCAAAAAATTAGAAAAAAATTGTGTTCTCTTTCCCATAGCTCTTATTCCCTCTATCATAATATAAAATGTACTTATTTATTATTTTATGGTTTATTCTCTATCTCCCCGTGATAGAGTATAAGCTGCAGGAAAGCAGGCTTTTTGTCTCTCCTGTTCATTGATACTTCCCACGTGTTACAGCCATCTCCGGCACATGGTTGAGATAGTCATAAATACCCATTGGTAAAGTAGCCTCTCCAGTCTGTCTGATGTCCCCATCTCTCCCTCTCTTTCTTTCTCTTTCTTTCTTCTCTCTCTCTCTCTTGCTCTCGCTCTCATTCCCCTGCTCATAGCACAAATCAGTATCTGAAATTATGCTACTGTTTGCATGTCACTGTCCCAGAGGTTAGGAGTACATTGAAAAAGAGGAGCCTCGTCTGTCTGGCTCACCATAGTCTCCTAGCGGCGAATAGTGTCTGGCATGTGATGGGAGCAGAACCAGAATCTGTGGACTCAGACTTTCTCTGAGCCCTCATCCAGGCGGTCATCAGGTTCCGGCCTCCCTCACCTTTCTGCCTCCTCATTACACCTCATTTGGACTCTGGTCACTCCCTACTTCCCATACTCCCTCTCCCCCATTTGCCCTTGAAGATCAGATGCTTTTCCTAAAGCACCACTCTAACAGCCCCGTCCTTCCCAGATAACTCCGATTCAGGAACCACCTTTTGCAGGCTGGATCCGTCTCCCCTCTTGATCCGTCTC